GCTGAGAATTTTATATTCTTGGACCATCAGGATTACAACATTACCACCGTTGCAGTTCTGTCAGTTAATTAATTTTTACCACTAAGAGCCCCTAAGGAATATGCCAATTTAAATTATAAAGCACCAAGAGGAGATTCATAAAAATGAATGTCTGTGTATAAACCTTGATTTCATGCAAAGTCCTAGGAAAAATTCTTAACCCAAACCAGTTATTTTTGCTTCCTAAATCAAAGTAAACTTCAGCATACAGTATTGGAGTGGAAGTTAGAGTTAGGAAGTCTGAAGGAAAACTCTGCTTATGCTTTTGATCTCAGAGTTCAAAACATTCCTGGTCAACAAGTTTCTAAGACCTGGTAAACATCAGAACTACACTGGCATCCTAAAGAGAGACAGCTCTCAAGATGCTTATTCTCATTCTGCAGAAATTTGTGCTGATGGGCTGAGGCCTTCATCTGATAAAATCTCTGCCAGCTGAGTGGCTGTTCTGTAGTTCCTTGTTAATACTGTCCTTTAAAGCAATCAATCTTCCCCTCCAGAACTACAGTGGGCTCTCAGCTCTGGGCAAAGGAAGCATTTTTCCCTAGTTCTTTTTCTCGTGCTCCTGGCCTTCCCAGAAGTTCTGAATATTTATTTTTTCAGAAAAAAAGGTGTAACAGAGGAGAAACCACTTCCCCTTGGATTAAACATTGCTGCTCTGGCACACAACTCCATGGCTGCTGTACTGAAAGGTCAGACACTGTAGACCAGGGAATAAAACCCATTATGGAATGTGGAAATAGGAAAGCTGACGGTTCTGCAGATAGGGAAGTGAGACTGAGCTGGAAGTTAGAGACAAATTAAAGGGGATGAGCATGGACTGAATGTTACATCTCCAACCCTAGGCTTGGACCTTGTCCAAGATGAAATTCACGGTCATTTTAAAGTGAATATCATGCTTTGCTCATTTAATAAACTTGCCTGCTGGGAAGGACTGCTAGATGTGGATTTCTCTGTACATCTGTTGAGTTAACATTATAGAAGATTGATATTTAAGTGATGGAGAGGCTTTACAATGCTGATTAGGTAAATATTTGCTTTTAAATATTTGTATGCCAATACTTAGATTTATGAATGTGAATTCCCAAGATCACTGTTTTTATGATCCCATTTCAACAAGGGCAATTACTTCCTTTCTGCTAATCAGGAAAAGACACAACCTATATTAAGAGACCATGGGAATTGTGTAGGATCAAAGGTGCAGATTATCAACTGGAACGTATTTCTTTCTCATGTTCATTACTCAATGCTATTTGCATTAATTATCTTTTTTTTTTTTTAAATTTGAGAACATTTTCTTGCTGCTGATTCTCTCTTGGCTTCTTATGATATCACAGCCGATTGCTAGAGAAAATATTATCACGTGATCAGAGGTGATTCTGGTGAGGGAATGAGTAGCTCTTAAGGAGAAATTCCTGTTTTCGTGTTCATATCTCATGGATTAAAATATTAACGCTGGATGGAAACAATCCTTTTCATGCAGTACTTTTCCATCACTTGACAACAGTTTACTAGGTGATTGGCATTATAGAGACAGTCACCACTATATGTCCTTCATGATGCTCTTAGGGCAGCGCTGTGAGGTTCACGAGAAGAGATCTGATAACTAAACCAAAAATAAAGTCCAGTAATACAAGACTTCATCTGGATTTCCCTGCATATGACATCTCTGTGCTTTTCTATATACATTTGAAGTCAAGGAACGCTTGGATACTAATGTACCATATTTTTGGTGTCAAATAAATACTAAATGCCTGTGCACAACAGTGGCTTTTTAAAAAAATGGCTGTTTACAAGTAAAATATCCTCTGGAACATATTTCATTGTCTTGTATGACTTGTTATCCACCTGTATCAGCATCTTGTCAGCCACCTGACAACAGAAAACTGATGCTATGCAGCTAATGAATTCTGCTCCATTGCTTAACAGGTAAATGCAAATGTGGTCTATATGCAAAATATATCTAATAAAAGATTAGTCCAAGTTGAACTGAAGGAAAACTTTGAAACTGTTTTATCCAGATTAGGATTTGTGTCTGAGTTTGATCCTCTTTCTACAGTGTGAGAACTGATGTCTGCTTCCAAATCGCTGCCCACACGTATGTGAACTTTGTAGCTGGTATCTTCTATTCATAGCATATGGGGTAAAACAATCTAGAGATGGATGTTCAATTGCTTATATGATTTATTCAACTTTACTTTTTATAACTGAAATAATACTGTTCTTTTTGCTTCAAATAATAAGGACAACAGAAGTGGCCTCTACAATGACTGCTTTCAGCCAGTCTTTTGATTTATATTTTACCCTGGAACTGGCAGTTCTTTACCCCACTCTTTTCTTTGCAGAGGGATGAACACTTATGTAAGACGTAGGACTGGAAATCAGAGGGTGCTCACGCCTTCGTAGCAGCAATGAAGTTCAATGAATTAGTTATTCATTTTCTTTTTGTCATCTGGGAATTCCTCATAACAGAGTGATTCTTTTCTGCCATATGCTACGGCTCCATAAAACAAATAATTTATTCACAAATTACAAAGATCACAAAGAAGCGGGAGAACAGAAGAATTGTAACATCAGCTTCATGCACAATCAGCACAAAGGAGGAAACAAATCCTCTGTGGAAACACCTTTATTTGAAGTCCCTGCAGGATTCATGTTTCTGATGGCACAGGTTAGCCTTGCTGCTGGAGAAAGGGGATTCCTCTGAACTGTGGAAATGCTGCAGGATGTGAGGCTGATGGGTCGCTGACTCTGGCCTGGTTATGGCTCCAGTTCAGCACTTACGTCTCATTGACTCTGCAGTGAAACATGTCTGTGTTATGCAGAGTCCCTGTTGCTGAATTGCACCTGGAACTGAATACAATTGTAGTTTTGATCTTTCAGGGGATGTTGTCTGTTTTAAACATATATTAAAAAACAAAACAGGCCCATAACATTGGGTTTATTTGCCAGTGATATAGATAATGAGTTATTCAGTTGCAAGCCAGATGTACTTTCCATTTCCATTATTTTCCATTCGCTCTGCCAGATTACCACTGTTTTGGAAATGAAAATAGATTAGTCTATCTCACTTCTGTTTACATCCTGATCCTAAAAAAAAATCACAGAATCATGGAATGGCCTAGGTTGGATGGGACCTCAAAGATCATCTAGTTCCACTCCTACTGCCATGGGCAGGGTTGCCAGCCAGTAAATCAGACATCACATCAGACTGCCCAGGGCTCCACCCAACCTGGCCTTGAATACCTCCAAGGATGAGGTATTCACATTTCACAATGTTCCACAGCAAAGAAACAATGATAAGGATTATTGTCATTGGGAGTTAAATAAATTAATAGATTGGTTATTTTAATACTGAATTTTTGGTTGTTAGGGAAAGAAAAAAAAAAAAAAAAAAAAACCTTTGGTCAAGCCTGACCTTCAATTATTTAAAAAGATACTGTACTAACATTTAGCAAGATTCACAATTCTGTCCTCTGAATCTGTTTACTTTAAAGCTGCCTTCAGTGCATTCCTTGCTTATAGAACCTTCAGCTATTGCAACTGGGCAGACGCCTGGGGCTGGATTGCAGAGGGGTGAGCAAACACATGAGAAGGCCCAATCTAATCTGGCACAATGCTTAGAGCAGAAATGGAAGATGCTCTGTGACTAATTACGGTTCATTTTTCCATCTATGAAGAAAATACACCTTTTTTGCTTACTCTATCAGGAAGCATAAGCTGGTTTCCTTTCAGACCTGTGTTACTGTATTTCAGTGTATTAGTTCATTCTTCTATTGCTGACAAAAATCTGCAATATAGGTTGCATTTATAGCTATAGCATATAATCCCTTTTATCCACTGCACATGCCAGATTCCGTTTTGAAATAGGCAACACTCTCATTGTATCACTGACATTATCATTTTAATAAAGCCTTTTCACAGAATAGTTCTTACTCATCTGTGCAGAAATTGGATATTTCTTAATTTGCCATCTAAGGAACTATAGGACTGCCTGTCTTCATCTTCTTTAACTCTTCTCTGACAGAAATTAGGCTTACATTTCCATTTTTCTATTTGCAAAATAAATAAATAAAAATAAAAATAAAATACTCTTGAAAAACTAAATATCCACAGCCACAAATAATTTAACTGCTTTGAAATTTTAGCTGTCTTCTAGCATGACATTTATCAATTATTTGGTAATCTATTTGTGTCTCCCATAATGCATTGCTTTTCTTCCTTCAGAGAATAAACCTGGATATATCATAAGCTGTCTCGTCCAAAAATAAAGAAGGACAGTGGAGGAAAACATCCATATGAGATAGCCACGTCAGTCTGGTGCTCTTATCTAGATCACATCTGTTTCTGTACAACTTCATTGCCTCCTTTCTCCTAGAGACTGTGCCATATGAAATATAGGGAAAGTCACACTTAAACAAAAAGGCTGGAGCAAATGATAGGGGACCAGTTTTCCAGAAGGACAAATGTTCAGTGCTTGCATTAAAGTCTGAGGTTGGGGGATAAGTTACGGGAGAAAGATTTTGGAATTTCTTCAAAACCCCATTTTTTAACCAGCTTTAAACCATGTTTATAAATTGAACCTTAATGCTAGGTATTGACATACTTCTCCAACAGGACATTGATCCAGCAGAAGTCATAGATTTACAACTAAATTACTTAGTACAGTTAGAACAGACAGGCTGTCTCAGAAACAGGGCAGGAACACAGCCCAGGCACTTCAATTGCCACCTGATGTTCTGTGCACTCCTTGATCAAGAGCTACGGGGTTTGGTTTCCTGTATGCCTAAGGCACAAGTGTCAAAATGTTGCTGGTAAATCATCTCAGGTGGACTTTAATCTGCAGATAGACACCACAGGTGGAACAGGGCAGCTCCTGCCTCTAGAGCAGGAAGCCCTTCTGTTGTTCGTGTAATGCAGCTGTGAGCTCTAATAAGCTCAGAGTAAAACCTGCCTCCCCAGGTTCAGGTTTATCAGTGGTGGAAGTGGCTTCCTAGCTGCTTCCTATCTCTTTGCAGTTCTGTGTAGTAGAGCTGAACTGGAGCTGCCCAGGCTGTTATGGAATCCATAGGCATTTGAGGCAAAGTGGAATCCTTGTGGCTTAGGCACATCATTTTCTATAATTAAGTCACAATGGACTTTTGGAGAGCTCTGCTGAACGACTGAGAGCCTGTGCACAGCTGGGCCTGCTAACAAACTCTGTGCTACTCTAAGGTAAGGGTTGAATTCAATATTCTAACTTTGTTGTGAAGGATTTTAACTCTTCTGTTTCCATGCTCCTGCACTAGCTTTCTCAGTGTTAAAACTGCATCCAAGCCTTGCCTAGTAGTAGGGCAACAGCATAGGGTCCATCTGGTGTATCCTCATTTCTCTGCTGGAGTGGCATCCTTGCGATCAAAGCTATGCTGTTCCAGCCAGTGCCCCTGAGCTGCTGCAGGATAAGCACATCCAGAGACCCATCAGCTAACATTGTGCTTCATTCCCTATCCAGTGGACTCTGGCACTTCTATAATGTTTATGCCCTCAAATTCTCACAGTGTTGCCTTTTTTTTTTTTCCTCCACTTCCTCCACCACCCTCTGTTTTCCTCCCATGTCTCTCCCTGCCCACACCCTTACCAAATGCATGTCAAGCTGTGCTTATTTGAATGGCAGAAAGCGTTTCAACAAAATCTCTTCAACACAAGGGTTGTATGAGGTCTGTGGGAGGAGAGGCCTGTGGATAAGGGGCTGGGCAGGAAATCTGCTGTTTGGCTTTTGTACTGACCTGCTGTCTGATTCGAGCCCTGCTTAAACTGCTGGCTCCCAGTGACATCTGTGGGGATGATACAGGAAGTGAGTGCTTAGTGCCTACCTATGAAGCAGTGTTGGGCAGAGGCAGCAAAGACAGTGCCTGGCTGCCAGCAGCATCCAGGCTGGGCTGGTGCTGCTCTGCTAGAGGCTGCTTTTCCCCTTTTTTTTCTTGGGTTTATTCAGCCCAGGGGAGAGGGAGCGGAGGGGTTGGCTTGTGGTGGCCTACAGCTCCTCATAGGGAGCAGAGGGGCAGTGCTGAGCCCTGATTACCCATCAGTTGCAAGACGTGTGGATAGAGAGAAATGCGGAACAAGCCCTGGATCATCTCTGAGTTTGCCAAATCTCTGTGAGCATGTAGAGCAATTAAAAATAAAATGCTCACCCGTGTTACTGATGAGTAGCACTTTACAGTTACTAGAACTGAAAGGACTTTAAGTGGCTGATTTGTTTTCCATTAGCTGGGTTCCTTTGTATTCTTTGCAGTTCTGCCAGCCTGGGCTGTAGAAATAAAGCAGTCAGGTTCAGTTTTCCTCAGAGCTGTTTGCTAGTCAGGTTTCTTTGGGCTCAAACCAGTGACTGAAGGAACTGGGGTTGTTTAGTCTGCAGAAAAGGAGGCTGAGGGGAGACCTTATTGCTCTCTTCCAATATTTGAAAGGTGCTTACAGTGAGAGAAGGGCTGGTCTCTTCTCACTGATGACAGGATGAGAGAAAATTGCCTTAAGTTGTGCAGGGGTAAGTTTAGGTTGGATTTCAGGAAGAACTTCTTTACTGAATGGGTTGTTAAGCACTGCAATAGGCTCCTCAGGGAGGTGGTTGGGTCATCATCTCTGTCTGTGTTTAAAAACAGTTTATATGTGGTGCTCAGGGACATGGTTTAGTAGAGGGTTATTAATTAGGTTAGGATAGTTAGGTTGTGGTTGGACTCGATGATCGTTAAGATCTTTTCCTACCTGAGTGATTCTATGAAGGAAAAAACAGAGTGGGGATGTCAGAAGTTCCCTAATTATTCCTGTTTCTCTTGTTTTCCAAAGGCTTGCTAGTAACCAGATTTTGGACAAAATTGGTTTCTAGAGGCGCAGTTTTATTTCCTTTTTTTTCCACGTGGCAGAGGAAAATCAAAGATGTCAGACTTGGCACTGGTAAACTGTTGATGGTGACAGAACTGTTTCTCCTCAGGCAAGCTGATATGCAATCAAGTATGTTAAGAGCTTGGCAGATGTACTCTTCCACTGTACAAAACAAAAAAAGTTGTGATCTCCTGCACCTCCCTTTTTGTCTAACATGAGAAAAACTTTGGTCCCGGAGTCCTGGCCTTAAAGATTCTCCGACTAATGTAAGATTGGTAACTGTGCAGTTAGAAGTGGTATTTACCTGATCGGGTATACTGGAGGCTTCTTCTACATTTTAAGGAAATATTTTGAGAGTTTTGCATCAGGCTGGCAGTTACTGTGCTCCCTGGTTTCTGAGGCAAAACGAAGAGGAATGCTCTGAAACCTTTTGTCACACACTTATCTGCGTTCCTGGAGAATGTCAGTGTCTGGTGTGTGACTCATTCATGGCCTCTGCAAAGCTCTGTGAGTCCGTTACAGCCTATGCTCATTCTGCTTTATTTCTCAAAATTAGAGCTTCAGTTTTTAGAGCGAGACGTGTTATAAATATGAGGATGGCATATTGTGGAGCAGATATGTTCACGTTCTCCTCATCAGTATGTAATTTCTAAAGGGAAATCTAAGCCTACTACCAAAAAAATGAAACTTAAATAGGGAAGAAGTTGTTATTTGATAGAAACTGTGAGATTTTCTATGTTCTATGGCTAGAGAGATGCTCTGAAAGTACGTGGGTACATGTTGTGCTCACATCAAGCAGTAATTCAGAAGAAGTAAAATACAAATCCTATCTTGTCTGCTAAGATCCCTCTGATTAGAGAGTCAAAGTAATGTTGTTCATATGAAACAGTTTAACTGGTGAGGAGAAGTCTGAGAGGGGATTTTATCAACACCTTAGGAATATCTAGAGGATAAGTGCTATGAGGATGGGCCCAGGCTGTCTTTGGTGGTGCCCAGCGGCAGGACAAGGAGCACAAACTGGAACACAGGAAGTTCCATGTGCACTTTACTGTGAAGGTGACAGAGCACTGGAATGGGCTGCTCAGAAAAGTTGTCGAGTCTCCTTCTCTGGAGATATTCAAAACTCGCCTGAGCACTTTAATCTGCAGCCTCCTGTAGAAATTGTGCTTTAGCAGAGCATTGGACTGGATGTTCTCCAAAGGTCCTTCCAACCCCTACAGTTCTGTGATTCTGTATTCTGAAGAAGATAAATATTCACCAGGCTTATTTCTATGCTATTTCTTTCTTACACATCAAATTGTGAGATAAGGACTGCAATATATGAGTGTGCACAACATAGATAGGAAATGGGTTGTCTGTGTAAGAGAACTGAAGGGTAAAACCAAAACAGCTTAAGGTAGTAGCTAGGTCTGTGTATGTATAGCAAAGAATGAGCATATTTGCTGATAAGTACATTTAGTGGCTTTGCTTGTGTTTTGTCTGAGCTTTCACTGCTTTGTGATTTCAGAATGATTTTGAAAATGATTTTGAAGCTCTGGTGCACATAGGTGGGTGAACCTCAAAAGAAATTTTAGTTTTAGTTAAGTTGTACTAATAATCACCTGGTCCCTACCAGCATGGCTGGACTAGTAATCGAAAGAAATTTGTCCTGGGACTTGCTTGTACTGGCAACCTTTTGGCTATTTCCCCCCCCCTTCCCCCCCCTCCCCCATTTGGCAAATTTCCTCTGCTTGTTATACCATAATGAGCAACTTTCTATCTTGGTACACTATAACTCAAAACGGTTTATATGAAACTCAAGAACAAATTCTTGTACCTGGTTATGCAAAGGTAAGTCTTTGTGACTTCAGTGCTTCACTGAAGCAAAGCTTGTTCAGAAAAACAAGACTCACATAGCAAGCAAAGCTAAATTGGAGAATTTTACAACTAACACACACTGATTCCTTTCTCTTAAACTAATGTATTGGTCTTTAAACTAATAAATTGATCCCTATCGGTAAACCAGCACATATAAGTATCCTCTAGGGATACCAGAAGATCACACTTGAGAGTATTAATTTTCTCTTTCATTTAGGTACTACGGAACCAACTGACAGCACAGAGAGAAGTTCAGTGCAGTTTGAGATACAAAAGAAATGTCCACTTCATGCTTGCTTTACACATCTCTGTTGATTGCAATTGGGTGTTAAACATAGAGTAACGACCATTGGATCAAGTGTAACCAGTTTTGTGAGATAATGAGCAATGAAGGACATTAAACAAAACTAAGACAATAATGCTAGTTTTCAGTAACAGCTATAATGGGCCAGATGAAAATGTGATGTATCTAGTAAATACTTCAAAGGAGATATTTGTGAAAAAGGAGTGCATGGGGTCAGGAAAAGGTAATTCATGGTAAAGATAGCAGAATCTGAGACAGTTTTTCATTGTAGGGAGCACTGTGGATATAAGGGAAATGTTCAAACTGCATAGGAGCAGAGACTGATAAGACTTGAACTGCAGAGATTAAGGTATCTGTTTCCAGGCAAGGGGATCTGGGGATTGGATCATTACTGTGCTATTAGCTGTTGGTTGGAGATAAACAAAATGATTGTTTATTCCCAGGAGAAAGAGCTCTTAGAGGTTAACTGACATTGCTAATTTGAAATTCCCTTGAGCAAGATGGCAGTCTCTCACTGGAGCCAGGATCTTCACAAGCTAATTTGAAAAACCAAGGGAAGTATTTCTTTTGCAATGCACAATATGTGGTGAGTGTTTCTTATCTTCTGCAGAGTTATTTTCTGTATTAACTACCTTGAATTGCTGAGTCCAAAAGATATTTATATACAATGTTCCTCAGTATTTAAGGAAAACTTGTGTGAGAGTGTAAACTTGCAGCCCTGGTTGATGTCGGCACAAGTTCTTGTCCTGTCTCCAGTGCCAACTGAATATATATACTATATACATATTTTTTCCCCCAGATGTCTGTCTGTCACCTTTCACGAAGGTTATCTTTGGAAAGCAACAAGAAAAAAGAAACAAACAGGAAGTAGGAACAGTGTAATAGCATGTGTCATTTCTCATTCAGACTGCAGAATTTGTGTTAGGAGAGAACATCTGAACTTCAGAGCTTTGTGCTGGTCTCTGTTAGGTGGCAGGGCAATACTAGGGGATATTCTAGCAATGAGAAACTGTTTTGTTTTATCTTTTTGCATCAGGAAGATGTTTGAATGTAGGATACTGATAGATGATCTCTGACATTATAGATGTTTCCTCAGGACTGTTCTACCACTTGTCTCCCATGAGGAGGAGTCAGATTGCACAGTGAGACACTGGTAGAACTGAGCAAGCTAGGATTAGGCAATCACTTCTAGGAA